ATAGTGGCGATGGTATTTTCAAGAACAAAGAATAGTAAGGACCCATCTTGAGTCTTTTTAAGGAGAAAGGCAGGATAAAAATATTTTAAATAAGTAAGTATAGATATCCTGATAGATACAGTGGTACCTCACTTGACAACGATAATGTGTTCCGTTAAAATCGCTGTTAAGCGAAATCGTCGTCAAGCGAAATAAAAAAAAACCCTTGAAATGCATTGAAAACTGTTCAGTGCATTCCAATGGGCGAAATACCTATTTGTACAGCAAAGATCCTCCATAGGGCAGCCATTTTCTTGTGCCTGTATAGCGAGGAATCCGTCCTTAACACAGCGGGGAGGCATTTTGCACAGCAGGGAGCCATTTTGAAACCCGACGATCAGCTACTTTTAGATCGTCATAATGCGAAGAATCAGTTCCCAAAGCAGGGAACCGATCGTCGTGAAGCGAATTTTTCCCATAGGAACATCGTTTTGCGATGGCAATAGCGATCGCTAAAACCCCATCGTAAAGCGGATTCGCCATTTAACGAGGTAATCATTAAGCGAGGCACCACTGTATTTTCATCTTGACTCTCCCATGCAGAGTGCATGAATGGAAAGCTATTAATTATTTATGGGATATCACAATTTGTTGTCATGGAACAACATCTTCTGATGGATGGCCTGCATTTCTTTGATTTCTCCTTGCTGCCTGTTTTTAAAGAAGTCAGTTTTAAAGTGGTTGAGGACTGTCCTTGCTGGATTAGTTACAGATTAAAATTCTTAGCCTTAGAACAATCTGTGGGCTATATTTTTTGATTGTGTGCTGAGTTGTACTGTATTTGTTCAACATAGCATGTTTTAAGTGCTGTTTCATCACTTGTCATCTGACTATAATGAGGAAATCTCCAGCTCATTTGATAATAGCAATTTCCCTTTAAAATTCTTCTCTTTATTGTCTTTGAACTTCATTACTTCACAGTTTATTCAGGGTGGATTTGATTTAAATCACAATTTAAATTTAAAAATTGGAATTTTTTTGACAATTTAAGTTTTAATTCAATTTTATTTTTTTAAAAAATCATTCATTTAATCCAACCTGGATTTATTTGTTTTAAAGTGACAGTGGCAGAAATCTGGTTCAATTTGATGTAATGTAAAGTTACACCTATGGAATTGGTACAGAGTGTTCTGCCCAGGCCGTGCCCACCACACAGTTTGATCACATGATTCATGCCATGACTGCTGTGCAACATCCCTGTGGAAGTGCTTTGTGACTAGTGCTTCTGCCTTGGCATGATTAAGGCTAACACTTGCCTCACTTTGAGTTATGCACATGGAGCTCCACAGTGGGATTTCATCCAGGATTTTTAGTCTGTGAAAGGTTATGGATAATAGCAATAATGAGAATGAAGAAATACCAGCAAATGTATTCTTTACTCATGCTTCAAAGTATAAGAAGAAAATCAGAAAAGACAAATCAGCAATTAAAATATGCTGTAATAATTGTGATTGATTTTAAAGAATCAGCAGCTTCATCTGTTGAAGATTAGTACTCTGGGATTAGATTTTAATATTTATTCCTTATACCTAACACAAAGCATATCCCATCTCAAGCTGCTATTAGCTTTGCAGGCAGCTGCTGCTACTGTTGTTGTTTGGTGCTGTCAAGTCACTTCCGACTTATGGTGACCCTATAAATCAGTGGTCTCCAAAATGTCCTGTCCTCAACAGACCTGCTCAGCTCTTGTAGACTCAAGCCTGTGGTTTCCTTTAGGGAGTCACTCCATCTCATATTTGGTCTTCTTTTCCTGCTGCCTTCCATCTTTCCCAGAATTACTGTTTTTTCCCCAGAGAATCCTGCCTTCTCATGATGTGCCCCAAAGTAGGACAGCCTTAGTTTCATTGATTTGTTCTTGCACCCACTTCTTTTTCTTCCTTCCAGTCCAAGGTATCTGCAAAGCTCTCTTCCAGCACCGTATTTCAAACAAATCATTTTTCTTTTGTCAGCTTCCTTTGCTGTCCAGTTTCACATTGATGGTGATCCAGTAATACCTGTTTTTGGATAGATTGCTTAAATTTTACAAGGAGGAAAGGCATGACTACCTTGTTGCGCCTCTGTTTCTCTAAATTTCAGAGCAATGTGGTGTAGCTAATTACAGGGGGGGGGAACCAACTGCAGAATTCATATATTTCCTGTATTTTGATTTGAAAGCGCTGCTTCGCTGCCTGCAGCATTGTGCAGTATTATTTATTTCTGTTGTAACCTGGGATCCTTTTGGATCAAGGTTCATCTAGTAACTCTTTGAACAATTAATGAATGAATACAGTTTCTAAAGCGCCTACAATTTCATCCATCTGCCTTACAAACCACCCTGTATGGTAGCTATGTGGATTTTTCTGCCCAACAGCAGCAACCTAGAATCCTGATAACTGTCAGATTGATGAAATGGCAGGCTGTGAGTTTCACTTGTTTACCCCAAAATAATTTTTTGAGTCTGAAAGAATGCTCTGTAGACTCCTTTTTAACGGTGCAGCTAAAAGTATTATTTCTTCCTCCTTTCTGCTTCTAGGTTACTCATGCATCACATCAGGGACTGCTTACCGGAACTAAAAACCAGAATCAATGTTTTAGCTGCTCAGTACCAGTCTCTGCTGAATAGCTATGGGGAACCTGTAGATGACAAGAGTGCCACGTTATTGCAGCTTATTACCAAGTTTGCCACTGAATATTGCAACACCATTGAAGGGACAGCAAAATACATAGAGACTTCAGAACTGTAAGCACAAGTTCTGTGTTGGAATTTGTTGCCATATATTGTGGAGTTATTATTTTGAATATTCATGGAACTCAGAGGTAAAATTTACTACCTTTTATAAACCAAATGGGCCCAAGTACAGGAAATACAACCTCCCCATTTGTCTCCATGTGT